AAATAAAGGGATGACTGTAGCTGTGCTGTCCCTGGATACAAACCTTGGCTGCATCAAAGAAACAGCCTCAGACCTGCAGTGGTTTTATTTTAGTGGGGACATCCCCAGCACGTTTAATGGGACCATTTTTACACTTTGAGATTTATGGGAAAACTTTCCATGACCGAAATAATCCCTTACCTTTAACATGGGGGGGGGTTTTGGGTTTCAGAGGGTAGTGGCAATAAGTTGATTCCGATGTTGCCTTTCCAGAAATTCCTAAACAAAGTGGAAGAGGCCTTCCTGTGTATCTGCTGTCAGGAGGTCGTGTTCCGGCCCGTCACGACCGTCTGCCAACACAACGTGTGCAAGGTGAGGGACCCTGGGCCCTGCTGAGCTCAGCCTGGAGACAGACCTGGCCAGGGCTTGGTTCCTTTGGGATTTCTGCCAGGAATTAGTCCTTTAGCATCAGTCAGGTTTAGAGGGACTTTGGGCAAGGGATGGAGGGACAGGACACAGGGAATGGCTTCCCGCTGCCAGAGGGAGGGTTAGGTGGGATATTGGGAAGGAATTCTTGGCTGGGATGGATTTCCCAGAGAAGCTGTGGCTGCCCCAGCCCTGGAAGTGTCCAAGGCCAGGTTGGAGTAACCTGGACTAGTGGGAGGTGTCCCTGCCCATGGCAGGGGGTGGAACAAGATGAGCTTTAAGGTTCTTCCAACCCAAACCATTCTGGGACTCTGTTAAATTAAAACAACAATAAGCATTATGGCCATTATTAATAAAGGGGTGGAACAAGATGAGCTTTAAGGTCCCTTCCAACCCAAACCATTCTATAATATGTGAAAACTCTATGATTTGATGGAAGTTCTTTGCCATAGAAAAGTCTGTCTTTTAGAGAAAGTTCCAGTCTTGGGTTGCTACTCCCTGATTCTTTTGCAGGGTGCTGAGAGCTTCTCTGAGGGCTCAGTGTCACTGCTGGGGGACTGAGGGGATCTTTAAGGTCCTTTCCACCCCAAGCCATTCTGTGCCACCTTTACCTGTTCATCTTGACCCAGGCAGTTCCCATTTGGCCTCAGCAGTTTTCAGAAGCTGCCGTGTTGTTCCTCTCTGTTCTCAGGACAGATCCTTCCCTTTCTCTGCTTCTTTATCCCTTCCAACAACCCTTTCCTGACCACTTTGCTTTTAATGGGTTTGATGATGATGAGATGATGTGGAATCCAACATGATGTTGGCTTCCTGGGAGCATTGGGGTGGTGATTGGAACACCCTGAGGTGCATGGGGCCAAGTTTTCTCTCCACCTCAGCCTTTCCCAGCTGAAAACCCAGAACCACACGTCCCTTAATTGTGAATTCTTGTGTCCCTCAGGACTGCCTGGACAGATCCTTCAGGGCTGACGTGTACAGCTGCCCTGCCTGTCGCTACGACCTGGGCAAGACCTACAGCATGGAGGTGAACGAGGCCCTGCAGGACATCCTGACCCAGCTCTTCCCCGGCTACGGCAACGGCCGGTGATTGCCTAAAGCACTTCTCCTTTCCTTGGGTTCACACTTAAACCACGGGCTTAATTTAAAAAAAAAAACAAACAAAAACAAAACAAACAAACCAGCAAACCTGTAGGCTGTGTTCTCCCAGACCCCCCCTAAAAAGGTTGGAAGTCTTCCTCGTTTTTTAAAAAAAAACAAACTGTAAACTCCCAGGACTGTCCTTTTGTACATTCGTGGATTTTCGTTTTTTTTTGTTCTAAATGTTGAAGTTTGCTTTCTTTTTTTTTGTTTCTTGTGGTTTTTCTCCCCTCAAACCTGCCATTCATTCAGCACACAATTATTTGTTCTTAATGGACTGAAAGTGCTTCCGGTGAGGCTGCTAATGATGAGGAAAGTTCTCAGAGTGCCCCTCATGCCCCCCCTATTATTTTTATTTTTTTTTATTCCAAAAAATGGCTTGGTTGCTAGAACAATCTTCACTGTCTGGGGATTTGGCCATCAAGGTAGACTCGTGCATCACCTTGGCAGCATTTTGATACTCCAAATTTGTACAAGATGGTTCCTGGCTTTGCACCACAAGTGGGTATTTGCTATTTTTTTTTTTTTTTGTAAGAACTGGGGTTTTATAAGTTTTACAAAAAGCCATTTCCTGCTAATTTTATATTATCAAAACCATAAAGCTGCTTGCTTAGAGCCAAGTAGTTGGAGCAATATGAAGTACTACCTCACTGGACTTGTTGTAGGGAAGGATTTGTTCAGCCAGGCGCTGTCCTCTGTCCCTAAATGCCATTGTGGAATATCCTAAAGCCATCCTTAAGTGCCTTTTGTCCTTTGCTGGAAGACTGGGCTCTGAATCACCATATAGATCTTCCTTTTTTTGTTTTTTTTTTTTTTCATAAGCACTGAATTGTTTTTAACTTGCCAGCCAGACCTTTGGTAACATGGAACACTGTAGCTGTGTGTGATTAGTGTGGATTTGCAGAGGATCAGGTTTCCTAGTGATAGGTGAATTAAGGTTTTTATTTTTTCCTTTGTTTCGCTGCATTTCTACCTGGAAATGAAAAATAACCAATCCTGGCTTTTTCTATGAACCATTTTGTATTGGACCTGCCACCGAGAAGGCTCACTTTGTATTTTTCTACCGTTACAAAAGTTTGCAGTTCGATACCTCAACAGGACAGGGATGTTTTTAATCACACTTTACTGCAGACAGACTGGAACAAATGTGCCTATTTTTTGTTTTCTTAACTCTTACCCTTTGGAAAACTATTATGTTAATATGTTAGGGAAAAGAAACCCCACCCCACAGCATTTTATAGATTTTTTTGTTGTTGTTGTTGTTGAATCTGTCAAATTTTTGTACAATGTGCAAGCTGAAGTTCTCAAAATAAATAACTTTTCAAATTAAATGTTGACTTTTTTCCTTTAATTCTTAGGCTCCAGAGTAGTTTCCAGACCTAGTTGCTTGTGCAGGAATTTGCATTTATATCCCATTAAGCAAAGGCTTCAACCACTGAGCTTTTCACAGATGCAGATGAAGGAAATGGAAAAGAAATGAAGGTGTTGAAAACAAAAGCTGTGAAATTAAGCAGCAGTGGCACCATCTGCCCTCTTTAAAGTAAGTTTATTTTAAGGTCAGTGTTAACATTAAGCACTTTCAGATATTTAGATTTGATTGAAAATGTCCTTCCACTTTTTATTCTGTGCTGTGATGGGAAGAATTGGGGGTGAGGGAGTGAAACTGAGGAAGAGTTTTTGTATTTAAATTGAAAGAATTCCCTGCAATGACTTCCTTAGTTGATTGCTTTTGTTATTATTTGGAATTTGGGAAACAAACTTTGTTTTCCTACAGAAGTGTCAGGTTTTTTTTTTTTTTTTTGGCTTGAATTAGAATTTCTCTGCAAATCAGACACTTTGTGGTGGGATCTGGAAATCCCAAATTATGAAGCCCTTACTGGGAAAATTCCTGTGCTACAGAGGGGGTGGATATGAAGGAATTGTGTTTTAATGTTGGAGATGATTAATAGGATGATGTTTCCCTTCCAAGCACTCTGGTGTCCATCTCTGTTGTGAAATTCTGGAATAAAAATCCAAGGTGTGAGTTGGTAACAAAGTATTCTTTGGATCAGGAATTAGGAAGGAAGAGTGACAATGTTGCAAAAAACTAACCAAGGATCCTGCAGCTATTTTGGGAATTCCCAGGGAATGCACAGAACTGATGCTCTGCAGGCCTTAATGAGCTCAAATTAAAAAGGTGCCCCTGATAGTTCTTCATCCTGGCAGCCTTCCATGGTCCTGGAATTGCAGACAGTTTGGGAAGAGAGTCTGGTGTGTGGGGATGGTCCTGCTGGAGGGGGGGATGATTGGGATGCTCCTGTGGCACCTCCACAACCCCCTGACAGGAGGGGGGAGCCAGGTGGGGGTCGGGCTCTGCTCCCAGGGAATGAGGGACAGGACAAGGGGAAATGACCTCAGGCTGTGCCAGGGGACGTTTAATTGGATATTGGGAACATTTCTTCCTGGGAAGGGTGGTCAGGCACTGGGAGGGGCTGCCCAGGCCGGGGTGGAGTGCCCATCCCTGGAGGTGTCCAGAAGGGTGTGGATGTGGCACTTGGGGACATGCCCCCATTTAGTGACTGTGGTGGGGTCGGGGCAAAGGTTGGGCTTGATCCTGGGGGTCTTTTCCAACCCTATTCCTTGTCTGTGCTGTCTGTAACACCTTCACAGAATCCCAGAATCACTGAGGTTGGAAAAGACTCCAAACCTCCCTGGGCAGCCCCTTCCAGTGCCTGAGCCCCCTTTCCCTGCCGTGCCCTGGGCTGTGCCCTGGGGGGCTCCCCAGGGGTGGGGGTCCAGCCCAGGAGGGTGAGGCTGTGCTGGAGGCCTTGGGGATGGGGATTGATGATCCCCCTGGTCATTGATGATCCCCAGGACCTCCTGGTCATTATTGATCCCCCCTGAACACTGGGGTCCATCCTGGATGGGATTGATGATCCCCAGGACTGCTTGGTCCTGCCCAGTTACTGATGTCCCTCCGGTCCCCGATGTCCCCCCAGGACTCCCAGTCCCCCCATGTCATCGATGATTCCCCTGGTCATTGATGATACCCCAGAGGCCATTGATGATCCCCTCGATGTCCCCCCGGCTCCCCCAGTCATTGATGATCGCCCCGGTCATTGGTGATCCCCCCCAGCTCCCCCACCCTAATTATCAGTGATCCCCCCAGTCATTGATGATCCCCCAGACACTGATGATCCCCTCGATGCCCCCCTGTCACTGATGATCTCCTTGGTCATGGATGTTCCCCCGGTCCCCCCGGTTATC